CACAGCAACGTGAGTTAACATCAACGTTAACTATCACACAGAAACTTGAGTTAAGATCAACGTACACTGTTACACAGCAACGTGAGTTAACATCAACGTTAACTATCACATAGCAACGTGAGTTAACATCAAAGTACACTGTTACACAGCAGCAACATGAGTTAACATCAAAGTATACTGTGTTATACTGTTATACAGTGCAAGAGGGCGGGTCATCAACGTAAATTGTTACACAGCAACATGAGTTAACATCAAAGTACACTGTTACACTGCAACGTGAGTTAACATCAACGTTAACTTTCACATAGCAACGTGAGTAAACATCAACGTTAACTATCACACAGCAACATGAGTTAACATCAAAGTACACTGTCACACAGCAACATGAGTTAACATCAAAGTACACTGTCACCCAACAACATTAGATACCATCAAAGTACACTGTTACACAGCAACATGAGTTAACATCAAAGTAAACTGTTATACAGTGCAAGAGGGCGGGTCATCAACGTAAATTTTTACACAACAACATGAGTTAACATGAAAGTACACTGTTACACAGCAACATGAGTTAACATCAACGTTAACTATCACACTGAAACGTGAGTTAACATCAACGTACACTGTTACACAGCAACGTGAGTTAACATCAACGTTTTCTATCACACAGCAATGTGAGTTAACATAAACGTGCACTGTTACACACTTACGTAAGTTAACATCAACGTTATCTATCACATAGCAACGTGAGTTAACATCAAAGTACACTGTCACACAGCAGCAACATGAGTTAACATCAACGTTTACTATCACACATCAACATGAGTTAACATCAACGTACACTGTTACACAGCAACATGAGTTAACATCACCGTACACTGTTACACAGCAACATGAGTTAACATCAAAGTACACTGTTACACAGCAACATGAGTTAACATCAACGTAAACTGTTACACAGCAACATGAGTTAACATCAACGTACACTGTTACACAGCAACATGAGTTAACATCAACGTACACTGTTATACTGTGCAATAGGGTGGGACATCAACATAAACTGCCACGCGTAGCGACATGATATGACACCAACTTAAGCAGTTATACACAGCAACACTGTGTGACATCACCTTAAACTTTCATACAGCAACATGGTGTGACATTAATGTACACTGTCATGCGTAGCAACATGATATGACATCAACATAAACTGTCTCCGCAGCAACAAGGTGTGACATCAACGTGAACTACCACACAGCAACAAGGTGTGACATCAACGTGAACTACCACACAGCAACAAGGTGTGACATCAACGTGAACTACCACACAGCAACAAGGTGTGACATCAACATAAACTGTCTCCGCAGCAACACGGTGTGACATTACAACAACAAGGTGGGACATCAACGTGAACCACCACACAGCAACAAGGTGTGACATCAACGTGAACTACCACACAGCAACAAGGTGTGACATCAACATAAACTGTCTCCGCAGCAACACGGTGTGACATTACAACAACATGGTGGGACATCAACGTGAACTACCACACAGCAACAAGGTGTGACATCAACGTGAACTACCACACAGCAACAAGGTGTGACATCAACGTTAATTATCAAACACCAACAAGGTATGATATCAACGTGAATTATCACATAGCAACAAGGTATGACGTCAACGTGAACTATCACACAGCAACAAGGTGTGACATCAACGTAAACTGTAATACAGAAACAGGGTGTGGCATCAAAGTAAGCTTCACACAGCAACAGGGTGTGGCATCAAAGTAAGCTTCACACAGCAACAGGGTGTGGCATCAAAGTAAGCTTCACACAGCAACAAGGTGTGACAGTAACGTGAACTACAACACAGCAACAAGGTGTGACATCAACGTGAACTATCACACAGCAACAATGTATGACATCAACATGAACTATCACACAGCAACAAGGTGTGACATCAACGTGAACTATCACACAGCAACAAAGTATGACATCAACGTGAACTATTACACAGCAACAATGTGTGACATCAACGTGAAATATCACACAGCAAAGAGGTGTGACATCAACGTGAAATATCACACAGCAACAAGGTGTGACATCAACGTGAACTATCACACAGCAACAAGGTGTGACATCAACGTGAACTATCACACAGCAACAAGGTATGACATCAACGTGAACTATCACACAGCAACAAGGTATGACATCAACGTGAACTATTACACAGCAACAATGTGTGACATCAACGTGAAATATCACACAGGAACAAGGTATGACATCAACGTGAACTGTCACACGGCAACAATGTGTGACATCAACGTGAACTATCACACAGCAACAATGTGTGACATCAACGTGAAATATCACACAGGAACAAGGTATGACATCAACGTGAACTGTCACACGGCAACAATGTGTGACATCAACGTGAACTATCACACAGCAACAAGGTATGACATCAACGTGAACTATCACGCAGCAACAAGGTATGCAATCAACGTGAACTATCAAACAGCAACAAGGTATAACATCAACTTGAACTATCACACAGCAACAGGGTATGACATCAACGTGAACTATCACACAACAACAAGGTATGACATCAACATGAACTATCACACAGCAACAGGGTATGACATCAACGTGAACTATCACACAGCTACGAGGTATGACATCAACGAGAACTATCAAACAGCAACAAGGTATGACATCAACGTGAACTATCACACAGTAACAAGGTATGGCATCAACGTGAACTATCACACAGCAACAAGGTATGACGTCAACGTGAACTCTCACACAGCAACAAGGTGTGACATAAACGTGAACTATTACACAGCAACAAGGTGTGACATCAACGTAAACTATCACACAGCAACATGGTATGACATCAACGTAAATTTTCACACAGCAACAAGGTTTCGACATCAACGTGAACTATTACACAGCAACAAGGTAACTATCACACAGCAACAAGGTATGACATCAACGTGATATATCAGACAGCAACGAGGTTTGACATCAACGTGAACTATCACACGGCAACAAGGTGTGACATCAACGTGAACTATGACAAAGCAACAAGGTGTTACATCAACGTGAACTATCACACAGTAACAAGGTATGACATCAACGTGAACTATCACACAGCAACAAGGTATGACATCAACGTGAACTACCACACAGCAACAAGGAATGACTTCAACGTGAACTATTACACAGCAACAAGGTGTGACATCAACGTGAACTATCACACAGCAACAAGGTATGACATCAACGTGAACTATCACACAGCAACAAGGTATGACATCAACGTGAACTATCACACAGCAACAAGGTGTGACATCAACGTGAACTATCACACAGCAACATGGTGTGACATCAACGTGAAATATCACACAGCAACAAGGTATGACATCAACGTGAACACTCACACGGTAACAAGGTGTGACATCAACGTGAACTATCACACAGCAACAAGGTGTGACATCAACGCGAACTATCACACAGCAACAATGTATGACATCAACGTGAACTATCACACAGTAATAAGGTGTGACATCAACGTGAACACTCCCACAGCAACAAGGTATGACATCAACGTGAACTATCACACAGCAACAAGGTATGACATCAACGTGAACTCTCACACAGCAACAAGGTATGACATCAACGTGAACTACCACACAGCAACAAGGTATGACATCAACGTGAACTATCACACAGCAACAAGGTATGACATCAACAAGAACTATCACACAGCAACAAGGTATGACATCAACATGAACTACCACACAGCAACAAGGTATGACATCAACGTGAACTCTCACTCAGCAACAAGGTGTGACATCAACGTGAACTATCACACAGCAACAAGGTGTGACATCAACGTGAACTACCACACAGTAACAAGGTATGACATCAACATGAACTACCACACAGTAACAAGGTATGACATCAAAGTAAACTTTCAAAGAAAGCAACATTGTGGGACATCCATGTAAACTGCGGTAGGATATGACATCAACATGAACATGCAACATGTTCATTCATCAACGTTAGCTGCTTCACACAGCAACAGAGTGTGGCATCAAAGTAAACTGTCACACAGCAACAGAGTGTGGCATCAAAGTAAGCTTCACACAGCAACGGAGTGTGGCATCAAAGTAAGCTTCACACAGCAACAGGGTGTGGCATCAAAGTAAACTGTCACATAGCAACAGAGTGTGGCATCAAAGTAAGCTTCACACAGCAACAGGGTGTGGCATCAACGTAAACTGTAATACAGAAACAGGGTGTGGCATCAAAGTAAGCTTCACACAGCAACAGGGTGTGGCATCAAAGTAAGCTTCACACAGCAACAGGGTGTGGCATCAAAGTAAGCTTCACACAGCAACAGGGTGTGGCATCAACGTAAACTGTAATACAGAAACATACCGACGATGATAATTTGGTAATCAAGATGTAATTAACGGACATCTAGAAGAACACAAAACTGACCTCACTTTGATGTTAGCTGATTAAACCCTCTCTCTAATAGCTGACTCATATATTGCGATTCTACTCTTCAACTCGTACCGTATTACCTTTCTAAAAGTAAAGGATAATCATATTCCAGTATCTAAAAAAACCTTCACGTCACGTGGTAATCAATTCTGAAACCCGACGCCACTACAATAGATTACTTCAAAAATAACAAACAGCGAATGCTGGAATACATTGAGTTTGAAAATTAATCATGTTGATCTCTTCGTTCGTTAAACTGTATAAAAACTATATATAAAGAAATTAATCAATGTTGTCCCTGGTGACCTTTATCGAGAACAGGTTAACATTCCAAGTTAAACAGGAAACCTCACATAATCTCCTATGAATAAAAGAAGATTATAAACATCGACTGTTATACACGACTAACGTCACGATACAGTCAATAGTAAACCTGAAACGTGACACGGACGTAATGGCTGAATGTAAAAATCACGTAACGCAGACTGTTGTTTTAATGTTTTAATGTGCTGATTTAAAACCGTACAGGACGTATTATCACATGAGCGATGTCTGTCTTAACGTGAGTATATCGGCTGATAGCGACTGTATTAACAAGCAGTATTGCAGGACAGAAAGGTATCACATATTCAACATGGCTGTATTTCCTTGGGGTCGGAGAGCCATGTTTCCCAGGTTTACACGTCGGCGAGGACTAGGTATTGTCCGATTGATTGTTGAAGGAACAAGAGGGAAAGGTCAAGGTGGAAACTAGCATACATAAACAACCTCGTGAACACTTGAATAGATATATAAATAAGAACGAAGGCTGTAAACTCATATATACATAAAAATCAGACGTCTGTGAATCAAGGGACACATATATGAAATGCTCAATTGGACACAAGTCGTCAATAATTTCGACCTTTATTCTAATGCTAATTCTCTCAGTAACGATGCAATGTTCATTATGAATAGTCATCATACAATATAAAAGTATTCCTTTGTTGCACTTTTATTATTTTGGTAGGTGTAAATGGTATTTAATAATGCTTTGAATAATAAGTCAGGACAGATAACGGAGAATCGTCCTTACACCATCCCTGTCTTGCTTCAAGTACATCTAACATGACAGAATTACAAATATAATACTGGTTTGTTTGGAGCTATTCTAAAACATAAGCTGTTACAAAATAATTGAAACGAGATATATCAACATCTATACAATGTGCATCCTCATGGTCATAATGTAGAAGGGTTATTTTTTATTCATGACATTCAAATAAAAACGAAACAAAAAGACGCTAAAGTTTTAGTTGTTCCCTTTGACATTTAAACAGAGAAATGGGAATGGATACCTTCATGTCCTGTGGATGGAATAGCAGCCAGCTTGAGGGTGTCCAATGTCGGGGGCCATCGACATCAGACAGCTCAAAGCCTTAAAGTCTACAAACAGGCAAGCACATCTTAAGCTACTCACGAGATGGAGCAACAATACATTTACAAAAATACCTTTAAACCAATCTGGAACTAAATGTCTATGTCATATCACTTGTGTTGTGTTCTAGACGGCTGCTCGTCAGCATGCTGGTTATATGGATGTATACAGATAAACATCGATGATATTTTATCAAAGCGAATTAATGATCACTTACTTCTATGGGAATGTCAACGTTATGATGACTTTATGTCATACTAACAATCATCTTAACGCAGTGTCCCTTAGTGCCACTCAAAACTTCCCGTCGAGGTAAGAATTACCCTGGTAAATGGTTCTGTCTTTCATTTATATACACTTCCATGAGTCATTTACTCTGCCATTGCGGCAATGAATCCGCCTCCGTAGCTACCAATCACGGTAGATCAACGAGTCCCATAATATACATAACCAATACTTGAAGGAGCGCATTGGGTGATGGCTTTATAAAGTCTGCAGCAAGGGGTAGCGCTGACACCGCTGCTGTTTTGTCCTCGGGAGATCCTCTGAAAACGTACATTTAGAGGCTATTTTACCTCTTGGGCTACTCGCCATGAGCCACAATGTTAAAGGCCAGGTTGAGAACACTCAGAGGTCACAGCATACCTGCAGTTGCAACATTTCAAAAAGTCATAAAAATAGATAGATACATAAATACTACCACTGGAAAAAATACACTGTTGGCACGCCGAAACTCATATTATCGCTGTCCATGGCGGTCCACTGGCCTTTATTTTGGAAAAAACACAGTTACTGGAATTCGGGCGAGGCCTATTACCTTTCCCTGGAATATTTTCCGAACAAAATTTTCCGGAAAGCATTCCGGAATTCCGGACTGAATATTGTATATATGACAGGATTAAGCAGGCTGTTAAGATAACCAAGCCACAGCACGATACTGAAAACAACATTAGGGACCTTGTCTGCTTCAGGGAGGAAGGGGTTGACAAGAGCACAGATAAAAAATGGGAGCCAACACATTATGAAAGCTCCAGTGATGATTGCGAGAGTTCTGGCTGCTTTTCGTTCGCGTTTAAGTTCTAGTTTCTCCTTCCGAGACATGGCCAGCTTAGACTTTTCTGCAGCGGTTTGCAACATAGCAGCATTAGCATCATCTTGAGAGTTCTCATTACCATTGGGAACTGTTTCGTTCTCCGAGCTGTTTTTCTCCTTCTTTTTCAGGCTGTTTTCAGGTGAACATCCATTGCAGTTGGACACAACACTATATTCTGTTTTGGGCGATATGGTCGTGGTAGTAGCGTCTTCTTGAATAATTTTCTTCTTATCTTTTTTCTTTTTAGGGAACTTGTTTTTCCTGATCCTTGCTCTCGCAACTTGGTATATTCGAATGTAGATTATTATCATGACTATCATTGGAAGATAAAAGGCACAAACCGTTGAGAAAATAGTGTAGCCATGATCTTGGCTAATAACGCACACGCCGGTTTTATCGGGGTCATTATTTGCGTCCTTCCAGCCAAAAAGTGGTGGGATGGATATTGTCATCGCAACTGTCCACACTATAGCAATCATTATGGTGATCCGTTTAGCACTGCGGTTACGAATATACTCTATGCTGGTGACTGCCCAGTATCTATCCATTGCTATGGCAACGAGATGCAGAATGGAAGCAGTACAGCAGAGAACGTCGAAAGATATGTGCATGTCACAGATTTCAGCTGGAAGGAACCACACTTTACTTATTTCAGAAACAACAGAGATAGGCAAGACCAGAACTGCCACCATCAAGTCCGCTACCGCCAGTGACAGGATCAGATAGTTGGCCACGTTGTGGAGATTGCGCTCCAGGATCACGGCAGCGATCACAAACACGTTCCCTATGATCGTTACCAGGATAAAGAGACCGAGGACTGTCGTAGTTATCACTAAGTGTTCAAAGCTGTGCATTTGAATGGAGAATGGAGTGAATACGGTGACGTTGTTCACAGCCTCCGTCGTAGGACCCGGAAGTCCTGTCTGGTTGAATTCCATTGGAACAAGGCTTTCCGTCATTATGCCTATGTTGGTTCCTTCTGTTTCGATAGGCTGTTACACAGATCAGTCATAAAGATAGATTCCCATTGTGGAATCTAGATAAATAGGTACACACTCTTCAAGTCTCTGCACAAACGGTAATACAGTTCACATGTTGTAAAGCACTGGAGTGTTGGAAGATAGTTCACCACGCCGGGTGGCCCAAGCCCAAGGGTTCTAGGGAGGAAACCACTTCACGGTTACGTACGGCATTCACATTTATGTCAGTCTCGTGTTGCTGCTGTGTTGCTATAACTGGTACCGGGATCCTCGTCGTGCCATCATTAGTTGCTTTCCACTCTGAAACACAGGAAGGCACATTATGATTAACCCATATGTTCATCACAACGACCACACAGAGGAAGCTCCTTACAATAGTGGTGTGAGGTAAAATTTCAAGATTATTGCAGTTATAAAGCGAAAATAACGTGTGTGTGTGTGTGTGTGTGTGTGTGTGTGTGTGCGTGTGCGTGCGTGCACACGTGTGTGTGCATCTGCTTGTACTAATCCTGACTAATTCCGGTTTAACAGTGGTAGCCGACTGAGATACCATTTTGCAGTTTAAAATTGATATTCCACTCAGACACAGTATACCGACTCCGGGCCGAAAAGTCCTTGTTTTATACCCTCAATGCCAAACGCCAGACAGGGTAACAACAAGTACATTTTTTAAATATCTTTTGGTTTGACGCAAAGATTGAACCATCGACTTTTGGCTCTCCGGGCAGACGCTCAATCCACTACACCACGGAGCTGGTCTTTACAATAAGGGGGTGCGTCATCTAAGGCGCCGCAATTCTCTGTGCAAATTTGGAATATCTTCCTAGGGTTGTCAGCACTCGTGCAAATGGGCTTCACTGAAGTTGTCTGATGATTTTGACCTGCATCACTTTAATGCTTTCCTTCCACATTAAGCTGACACTACATATGTACCGGCCATCTGCAGAGATAAAGACGTAACGCCGTGCTACCAAAATACTTTTCTAAAACGAAAATGGATCGGTTAACAATATTTTGCAATGTTCAAATCAATTATCCAATTGATATACAGCATGGGGTTTGGGTGGTATTCTCGTAGGTACGGTAATTGGAATCACTTCAGAGTTTCATTTTCAACGGAAAATAGATTATCTTGGAATTACTGAGACACAAATGAACTAAGACGATGGTAGCTGGTTTACCAGTGAGTGTGAGTTAGTTGGGTTTAACGCCGCTTTTAACAGTAATCCAGTTATATCGCGGCGTGTCAGCTTAATGTGGGAGGGAAGCCCGAAGTGATACAGGTCTCAGACGTTTACCACTTCTGTGAAACCCATGAGCATGGGTATGGTGCTGACAAACCTAGAAACATAATCGGGGCGAACCGGGATTCGAACCCACAATCATAGGTTTCTGGCGTGCCCAAGAAACGTAACTCTGCAGTGCGAATCGCGGCGCCTTAGACGACTGGGCCACCCGTGCACCCCCCCCCCCCCCCCCCCCCCCCCCGCCCCCCTACCCCACCCACCCGGTTAACCTGTGACAAGAAGTAACCTGCCAGATGTACGGTTCTTATCGCTCATGTATAGAGCTGTAATGAGACCATTAGACTTCATTTTAAATTATTGGTTCATAGGCGCAAGGCTTGATCTATTGAACTCCAGGTTATGTCCGGGTTTCCACCCATGACTGCACTATGCAGTAACTTCTTTCTATCTACACATCATTTTGAGTCAACATTGCCTGCGGACAGTTACGCTAGCTTGATAAACATGTATAATTTGGAAAACTGATGGTGGTGTATTGATGCATTATTTGTTTTACAGTACATCAAACAAAACCCCTCCATCCATGGCAATTCTCAGAATATACTTGACAGCTGTTGACAAAAACTGCCTGTTGGTACATTGTCATATATCATTCACCACGTTTTTCTGATGCAACCGTTTCCAATCGGAGTGCTTCGATCCATCATGCTGATAAAACACAAACAGGATCTATCACTCACCTAAATATATGCGTTAAGCCTTCTACAAACGCCGCGCAGTGGTAATACAACAGTAAGTTAATACAACCAGGGCAATATACTCTGTAAAGAACGCTGATATGTTTTTATATGTAATGAAGGATACATGTGCATTCTAGGAACATAATGTATTACTGTGACGGGAAAGATAGTAGGCTTTGCAGTGTTATAAAAACATAATCATAGTTAACAATACTTCGTTTGGCAAGCATTACATAAGAGTTATTGTCATTGAAAACAACCGTGCATTCATCTGTACTGCTTGTGATATTATTTAGACGAGCTAATAAAGTCCCAATCTACACGACAGATGTGACTATAGATCAAGGATGAGTTGTTCCAGAAGAATACACTGCGAGCACTGCAATGAATAATATATTGACATTCATGATTTCTTTTTAAGTCTGATCAGCATATCCATAGAAATGCATTATGATCAAATAATATTGTGTGCAAAACATAGTTACATAAACGCTTAAATAAATGCGATAAACCCCTTTCCAGAACCATCAGAACTCTCCGCTACAAGCAAAGCCAATTGTACGATTCCGACTATACCATAAGCATGTGTTTATGAATCAGTCAATCAGTTTTATTCAGTACTTAAAAGGCCACAGGCCTATAGTACACTGCGTATCTAATAAATACGAATTGTACTGTAGGCCTGTGGCCTTTTAAGTACTGAAAAAAACTGATTGACTGTTTTTGAATCACTATAGTGATGACACCAGGTGTCCCAAGTGGAACCATAGTTCTTTAACTACTATTTGGTTGTATGTCTGTTACATGTAGGTGTTTAATGCGCAATAATCCAGCTATCTGTTAATAGTCGAGGCCAGACAAATTTGTGATTAACATCATCTGCATTGGTCCACACAATGAGGATATGATGACAGGACTCAACCAAGCCACCGAGCCTACAACCCGATCCACTTAGACGCCTCCTGCATCAAACATAGTTCGCTGGGGACGTATATTCTCAGTCTAGCATCAGTGACCCTGACAGTAGAACAGTGTTTCTGCCTTCTCACAATGACGTAGGGCGTCGCGTCGAACGCAACCTTTGACCAAACACTGGCTGGCAGAGTAGCCGAAGGGATGTATAACTAGCGAGTATGTCAAAATGATTGCTTACATAGACAATTGATGAATCCAAATGTAGCGATAGGCACACACATTTATAATCTGGTAGGATATTAGGATGATGTGCCAGAAAACAAATGAGGTAGTTGTAAATATTTATGCAAAGACCGAACGGTCAGCAATATTGATGGATGAGTAAGTCTGCGTCAGAGGACGGAGCTATATTGAATCGTGGAGAATGATGAAGACGAGTTTAATTATCATCGGACGTTGCTGATTACCCTGTGTGATAAATGATAGTTTTATTTACCCTATAAGCGAGGAGGTACAGACTAACGAATGTAATAATAATAATGCCAGTACATACACATGCATTTGTACACAATGCTGAAACACAATGTGTACCGGTTGTAATACGTCATGCATACTCATGGGTGTTCCGTACCCACAGTCTATATCACTCGGCAGTTTCACTAAAAACTCGGCAGTTCCACCACGAACTCGGCAATTACAGCACGGACTCGGCAGTTACAGCACGGAATCGGCAGTTTCAGTAAGAACTCGGCAGTTACAGCACGGAATCGGCAGTTACAGCACGGAATCGGCAGTTACAGCACGGAATCGGCAGTTACAGCACGGATACGGCAGTTACAGCACGAATACGGCAGTTACAGCACGGACTCGGCAGTTACAGCACGAACTCGGCAGTTACAGCACGGACTCGGCAGTTACAGCACGGACTCGGCAGTTACAGCACGGAATCGGCAGTTTCAGTAAGAACTCGGCAGTTACAGCACGGAATCGGCAGTTACAGCACGGAATCGGCAGTTACAGCACGGATACGGCAGTTACAGCACGAATACGGCAGTTTCAGCACGGACTCGGCAGTTACAGCACGGACTCGGCAGTTACAGCACGGAATCGGCAGTTACAGCACGGAATCGGCAGTTTCAGTAAGAACTCGGCAGTTACAGCACGGAATCGGCAGTTACAGCACGGAATCGGCAGTTACAGCACGAATACGGCAGTTACAGCACGGAATCGGCAGTTACAGCACGGAATCGGCAGTTACAGCACGGAATCGGCAGTTACAGCACGGAATCGGCAGTTACAGCACGGAATCGGCAGTTACAGAATGGACTCGGCAGTTACAGCACGAATACGGCAGTTACAGCACGGACTCGGCAGTTACAGCACGAACTCGGCAGTTACAGCACGGACTCGACAGTTTCAGCACAGACTCGACAGTTACAGTATGGACTCGACAGTTACAGCACGGACTCGACAGTTTCAGCACAGACTCGACAGTTTCAGCACGGACTCGACAGTTACAGCATGGACTCGACAGTTACAGCATGGACTCGACAGTTACAGCACGGACTCGACAGTTTCAGCACAGACTCGACAGTTTCAGCACGGACTCATCAGTTTCAGCACGGACTCGACAGTTTCAGCACGGACTCGACAGTTTCAGCACGGACTCGACAGTTTCAGCACGGACTCATCAGTTTCAGCACGGACTCGACAGTTTCAGCACGGAATCATCAGTTTCAGCACGGAATCATCAGTTTCAGCACGGACTCGACAGTTACAGCACAGACTCGACAGTTTCAGCACAGACTCGACAGTTTCAGCACGGAATCATCAGTTTCAGCACAGACTCGACAGTTTCAGCACAGACTCGACAGTTTCAGCACGGAATCATCAGTTTCAGCACAGGTGTGTCAGTACCATACCCATGTTCGTGGGTTCCTCCACAGTGGTAATTGTCTAAGACCTGCATAACTACGTTCTCTCCGCCAACATTTAGCTGCTACACCGTCACATTACTGACATGTGTTTCAAAGATTTGAACCAAAGACGGAACCTAACTCGCTCAATCACCATTAAGTATGACCGGCGAAAGTCTTCACGTCCAGTGATAGACATAGATGAGGAGGTTGAATGCATTTATTCTATGAATGTTTAAAAAGTCTTCCATTTAAATGAGCGTAACAAAATATCCATTTCAAAGATTTTGAAAATATAATAAAATTCGCCTTTCCTTACATGAAACTTCCACCATTTGCTTATTTTAACTACCAATCTTTTCACATGTATACTGGAAGATATATATTTCGGAATTTATTAAATAATTCCTTGCATTTCTTGTGTAATTATTCCTATTATACCGTTTTCGACGTTGAATGTTAGTACCGTTTTGCTGCAGTGT